CCTCATCCGTCATCCTGCATCGACTTTGAAGGGGTTAGGGGGGACGCCTGTTGCGGGTTTACTGTAGGCGTCGCAACAATGAGTAGCCATATCCCGAAATATAGACAAGATAGCCGAAAACCATTCTAGTACTCTAAGGTCTTTATATGGGGGCTTCCGAAAATAGGGGACCCTAATTTAGCACCCTAAATAGTAAAATCCTGATTATAAGGACCCCCCAAATACGGTACCCCTCATTTTCTGAAATTGTCGAGGGCCTCCGTCCGACTGAAGACGACACATGGGCCCAGCATTTCTCTAACTCGGCGTAGAGGGTTTAGGGTTTAGGGTTTAGGGGTTTAAGGGTTTAGGGTAGAATTTCGGATTGACGGCCACGAAACCAGAATCTCCAACCCCCCCCAATACCGCAAAACCCTTCGAGCCCTAAAACTCCTAACACCCAAAAGCCCGAGATCTCCATATCTCAAAGATGGCGTGTCCTGCCAGTACCAGGCGGTGGGCCAAGAAGCCATCGGCAGGAGTCCAAAGCAATGCGAAGCAAATAACGGCGGAACCCTCAATTCAGAGGGGATTTTGGTCAAAATCTAGGGTCTAGAGCTTAGAGCTTGAAGCGTAGATTTCACTTTTTGGGGTTTTAGATTTCAGACCTGTGGTAAACTTAAGGTTTAGATTGTTGGTGGTAAACTTACTTTCAAGCGCTCAGGGTTTGCATCGTGCCTAAACCCTAAGCCCTCATCCCGAAGCCCTGGCCCTAATCCCGAAACCCGAATCCCGAGAACCTTATCTCTAAGGTTTAAGGTCTAGGGTTTAGGGGCTAAGGGCTTTTTTTTGAACGCCTCACCGCAGCCGCTCTGAACGCTAAAACCTAAGCCCACTGGTTAATGTAGAGGCCTTAATAAATAGAATAAGGTTTTGGGGTATATTTAGATTATAATTATAATAAGGAGCCCCCAAAAAGGTACAGGTAATTATTTTGGCTTCTACATTAACCCGAAACCTTGACGGCTGCAGGACGGTCGGCCCAGGATTCTTTGTCCGCGGAGGGGATGTGCAGGACCTAGTGTCTTTGTAGAACTGCAGTGTATACCTTAGAAAGGGACCCTTCTTAACCCTACTTATAGCTCTCTAAAAACGGACCTTGTTGAGAGAGTCTATATCACCAAGGGTCCCCCTAATCTTAAGTCCCAAACCCTAAACCCCTAAACCCCTAAACCCCTTAAACCCCTAAACCCTAAACCCTTATCCAAAGTCCTAGAGTATCTTACCTGAGCTCGGGGTGAGGTTTCGGGCTGTGAGGCTGGAAGCCCCTAAACCCTAAACCCTAAACACCAAACCCTAAGCCCAAAGCCCAAAGCCCTAAACCTTAAACCCTGAACCCTAAACCCTAAACCTTAAACCCGAAAACCCTAAACCCTAAGCCCAAAGCCCAAAGCCCTTAACTCCAAGCCCTACATCGGGCGCGCCTGGCATCCGAATGCTTTTAAGCCGGACGGTTCAGGGTTTAGAGTTTAGGGTTTAGGCTTTAGGCTTTAAGGTTTAGGGTTTAGGGTTTAGGGTTTAGAGTTTAGGGGTTAGGGTTTAGGGTATAGGGCTTAAGGTGTGACTTTGAAGAGTTTAGGGCTTCGGGTAAGGCCCTAAACTAAACCTGCAAAGCCTCAGCGAGGCATGAATACCTTGCTGCGGAAAGCTCCGCGTCGCCCTCAGAAGGCATCACGACGACCTAAATCCGAAATGTTGGGTCGACCCGGAAACTTCGAAACCCAGTAACTACATATCCCGCACGCAGGAGCCCGATGATGCTGTGGCTTCTCGGATCAAGCGATTGTAGAGGTTGAAGAAACCCGGAACGTTGATGAAAAAAATGGTCTCGTAACACATCTACACAAAGGCGGTGGGTGCTTTTATGCGCACGATCAACACGCCGAATTCGAATTCGGCCAACAATCAAGAAACTTTGATAGCACACTCACCTTACGAAAGACTTCCGGACCTGAAATGCAAAGGATTGAAGCCAAGCGCCGTGGCTCGGCAAAACCCAAGCACCAAATCGGTGTCGTGTCAAGGGTAGCACCTATCGACCGTGGAAACCCCCAGTTCTAAACCCCAAGCCCTACAACCTTGATTCAGGGTTTGGGGTTTAGGGTTTAGGGTTTAGGGCTTAGGGTTTAGGGTTTAGGGTTTGGGGTTTGGGGTTTAAAGTTTAGGAATTCCCTGAACCCGAAACCCCAAGTCCCAAAACAGCATCATATCAACATGCCCTCAGCCCCAAGACCCCTACATCCTAAGTCACGAACCCTGTCTCGACCCTAAACCCTGAAAATCCTTATGCTTGATGCTTTAGGGTTTAGGGTTTAGGGCTTAAGGTTTTGGGTTTAGGGTTTAGGGTTTAGGGGCGCTCTTGAAACCCTTTAAGGCAGCTTGAGGCCCTGAAGAAAACCCCGCGCTCCCAGGCGCCTCCAGGTCAGGGTTCGTCAGGGACACCCGCCAGCCAAATCTTTCCATCAGCGCCTCGCCGACCTCTGTGGGTTTAGGGTTTAGGGTTTAGGGTGTAGGGTATAGGGTTTAGGGTGTAGGGTGTAGGGTTTAGGGTTTAGGGTTTAGGGTGTAGGGTGTAGGGTGTAGCGTTTAGGGTTTAGGGTGTAGGGTGTAGGGTTTTAGGGCTTACGGTTTAGGGCTTACGGTTTCGGGTTTAGGGTTGGGGCTGGCTGCTATTCAGGGCCTTGTACCTTTATAAATGTTGTGCAGCACGCTGCGTGCAGGTTCGGGGGACCTAGTTTTCGGAGCTACAACTATCACAAACCTAGTCAGGATTCCTCTCAGGGTATTTATTACTACCTAATTACAAAGTCTCTCTAAACCCAAACCCGCAACCCTGATAGGAAACGTGAGTCCTTCACCCCAGAACCCTAAGTGTGTGGCTTCATGCAGGGGCATTGGTGATTGGAATAGGGCTTTGGTGGGATATGTTTTGGTATGGTTACGCAGGGGCGGTAGATTCTCGCACATCATTATTAAAAATCTAAACCCTAAATCCTGAATCATAAACCGACCTAAAACCTAAAACCTAAACCCTAAACCCTAAACCCTAAACCCTGAATCCTAAACCGACCTCTACATTCAGTTCGAGGTATGGGGCTGAGCATCTCGGCCGGCTCCGGGTCTAGAGTCGGGCTCAGTGCCCGGAGTGTAAGCACCCAAAAAAACTCGAAGGTTTAGGGTTTAGGGTTTAGGGTTTAGGGTTTGGGGTTTAGGGTTTAGGATTTAGGGTTTAGGGTTTAGGGATTAGGGTTTAGGGTTTTGGGTTTTGGGTTTTGGGTTTAGGGGTTTAGCAGTTTAGGGTTTAGGGTTTGGGGGTTTCGGGGTTTGGGGTCTAGGATGTGGGGGTTTAGGCCTTGGGAGCTAGGGTTCACTGCGCAGGGTTGAGGTTTAGGGTCTGAGGATTGCCCCAAATCCAAAACTCCCAAACTTAAACCGTTAAAACGGCAATCCTGCTCTTGCTGCCCTTGTAGAACAGCCAAGGGGCATCTTTTTTTAATCGATACTGGCCTACGATTTCCCTGACACTTATGGGAGAGCTATCAGCACCCCCATTATCCCCCATTATTATGCCGCCTGAAAGGGCAATGAGGGCCCTTGAAATGAAAAACGCCCCGCGCAATGCAATCCGCGAGCCTAAACCCTAAACCCTAGATCCTAAACCCTAAATCCGAAACCCTCAACACTAAATCCAAAGTCCTAAACCAGAAACCCCAAACTCTGAAACCGCTCATCTTCGACAGCTTGCTCCCTGCAGCCGACTGCAGGGAGTACACGCCCATCACCAGCAAAGTCCCCGACCTGCTTGCTTAAACCCGATAAACCCTAAACTTTGGCCCTAAACCCTAAGGCCAGAAGCCTACTAAACCCCAAAGCCTACGAGGTAGAGGTAGCTTCTTGGTGGAAAAGCCTAATATAGCATCCTGATTGAAAGAAACGCTGGTCCCATCACCCCAAAGTATTCGGAGCCATACAAAGAACCCAAGTAGAAGCCAGAAAATTGGAACATGGGTTTACGAGGATACCTTAAGGGAATGGGACCATCATGTTCCAACTTTCCGGCTTCTACTTTTTAAGGCCCTAAACCCTAAACCCTAAATCCTAAACCCTGAACCCTAAACCCTAAACCCTAAATCCTAAACCCAAAACACGAAACCCTAAACCCTAAACCCTAAACAAGGACCCAAGGTTTCTCAGTCAAGTTCCTCTGTTAACCCCCACCTCTTCGGCCAGCGCATCCGAAGACACGAGGGCCTAAGGCCGTGCCGTGTTTTGGAGGGTTTCGGGTTTAGGGTTTAGGGTTCAGAACCTTGAGATTTTTTCGGTGGTTCTAGAAGATTTTGCCGCGGATCTATTAGATTCTGCAGAATGGTCTTAATGTACATCCAACCTTACCTGCATTTCATAAATCGCCTGTTCCATTGCGCGGGGTCCTTGAGTTTGTGGTATACGCACAACTAAGGTGCTCATCAAAGGCTCTCATGAATAGATACTCCAAGCGTTCTTGCTCGAGGGGGGCCTCGGCTATCGAGCATCATGCCAAAAGGCTAATGTATAGGGGCCTTAATGATTAGATTTGGATTCTGGGGTATATTATGCTATATATAGTAATATATAGGCGATAAATGTAATAAGGAACCCCCAAGACAGTATAATTTATAGGTAATTATTCAGGCCCCCTATATTATACAGTCCCGAGAACAGAATTAAGTTTGCGTTTCGGGTGCGGTACATTTTGAGTCCAGTTCTGGACGGGCTGGTGAGTAATTCGTCTTCGTACGAGTTGGACCTTGATCGAGTTGACCAGAAACTTTTGATTCGCAGACGATCCTCTGAATCAGGTTTCTTGCCAGACTCTGCCTGCTGTACAGTCGGCCGAATCTGGAGACTGTCTTGGGGGATCATGCACAAGTGCGCACCGACGGCTGCGGTACGAACTACTGGGTGGCTCAGACATCCTAGTCCTAGTCGACCTCCTCCATCTTGGAGGCCTCGTCGGCCGCGCCCTCGACTTCCTCAAGCGGGGGCAGGTCGTCGTCATCGCCCAGGCCCTCATCGTCATCGTCGATGCTCAGGCCGAGCTTGATCATGCGGTGGATGCGGCCGGCGAACTGCGTGGGCTCGTCAAGGTTGAAGCCGGAGGTGAGCAGGGAGGTGTCGAAGAG